CGGCCTGATGTACCAAAATTCAGGACTTTTTGAAAGATATTGGCCATTTGGTGCACAATTAACCTTAGATCGGTTAAATTAAATATATTAGGGACCTATATCCAAATCTAAACCGATCTTAAAAAAAAATTGGCAGAGGTATTTCTGGGCTGTATCTGATATCTGGTACCAAAAAACATTCTTGTGGAGTGCATTTTAGGAATTTGAGGAACATAAACACCAAATCGGATGAAACATATATATTGGAGCTATAGCTATATCTGAACCGATTTTCTCCGAATTTGATGTATCTGTTTCTAGATTAAATTCGGTCGGATGTACAAAAATTCAAAACTTTTTGACAGATATTGGCCATTGGTGCACAATTAACCCGAAATCAGTTGAAGATCAGATATGGGACCTATATCCAAATCTGAGCCGATCTTTATAAAATTTGTCAGATGTATTTCTGGGCTGTATCTGATATTTGGTACCATAGATCATTCTTGTGGAATGAATATTACACATGTGAGGGACTTAAGACCCCAAATCGGATGACACATATATGTGGGAACTATAGCTATATCTGAAACGATTTTCACCAAATTTCATGTACTTGCTTCTAGACTGAATTCAGTCAGATGTGCCAAAATTCAGGTCATTTATACTGATACTGACCATTTGGTGAACAATTGACCCGAAATCAGTTGAAGATATATATGCGAGCTATATCTAAATTTGATTCTCTCCAATTTCAATAGGGTTCGTTCTTGGGCCAAACAAATATTGTTTGGAAAATTTCATCTCAATCGGGTAATAAATGCGACCTGCATTTTATTCACAAGAATACATGGACGGGCGGGCAGACGGACTGACAAGCATAAATCGACTCAAGAAGTGATTCTATGGAGATCCTCAAAATCAACTATGGGTCTATCTCGCTTCCTTGCCCATGTTACAAATAAATGCACAAAGACATAATACCTTTACCACTATGTGGCGTGGGGTATAAACATTGACTTCATTCTGGCTTAGCAAAAATCTCCACCATAGTATGGAAGGTATATTAAGTTTGTCATTCCGTTTGTAACACCTCGAAATATTCATTTAAGACCCCACAAAGTATATATATTCTTGGTCCGCATAAAATTCTATGTCGATTTAGCGAAGTTCCGTCTATCTGTATGTGGAAATCTCTCTAGCTTCCAAACGAAGCGAAGAATGTTGATAAAATATTAATGAAAAGTATATTAGATCTGCAGGACTTTTGGTATTAAAAATGGGCCATGTAGGTCCACGTTTTGGTAAAGCCCCCTTATAACGGTACCTCCCGATATTCGATATTTTGATGATTTTAGCGACATTATTCACCGGAATTGTTTCAAATTTGGTATTTGAAGCTCATAATGGATACTACAGCCTTCGTATATCCCCCATATAACGGCACCTACCGACATTCGATATTTCGATGATTTTAGCGACATTATTAACCGGAATCGTTTCGGAGCTCGCATTCGAAGAATATCCCCATATATCGGTATCTCCCTACATTCGGACTTTTGATGATTTTAGCGAAACTTTTTACCGGATTGGTTTAAATTTTCGCATTTGATGTTCGAAGTGGATACTACAGCCTATAACGGTCGTTTGAAGGTATTTTTCTACGGATCTTTTTTTTTAATTTGAAGTGCCTTTAAAATGGTGAAGGGTATTAAGGGTTTGGCCCGGCCGATCTTATTTGCTTTTTTACTTGTTTTAAATAAAATCGTATTCAAGGATTAATATTTTTGGACCCTGACATATTTATAAAACCGTCGAAAAAGAGTCTATTATATGGGTCCACGAAATATATGCCAAATTATAACTGACATTCAAAGCTTCCTAAAATAATGTCCTATAATATAACCTTATAATATAACCTTTTCGACTCTTGGGTGGTTTTATAAAAAAAAGCCCGGCCCAAAAAAATGTTTTTTGACATCGCCACCGAGACGGGATTAAATGACCCCTTGTGACCACTTGTTTAATAATCGTTTTCAGAAGCTTTCAAATTATACCATTTATCGTTGAGTAGACCTATTGAGAAAATTTAAAAAAAAAATGAAAAGATGTCCCAATTTTTTTGTGTTACTATTACCACCTACGACTTTGAAATATTCTAATGGGTGATTTATTCATCTATTCACCTCCACTTTTTGCATTTTCCAATTTCTTAAAACAAATTCCCAAAAACTCCCTCAGCCATAACGTCCAATGTTAGATAAAAAAAAAAATTGAACGCACGAACATTGCTTTTGTAAGCAATGTAATAACCGCATAATCTCCACCATTGATCATTGGACTTGGCATAATGACAAAACAAAACAAAAAACCAACAACAATAACAACAACAACCAAAACACACAATCGGCACAATCAAAAACAACTCTAAGCTCACTTTGGTGCCCACAATGCCAAACAATTACACCACCGATCAAACTTGAAAAGTTGTTGTTGTTGAAAAAAAAAGAAAAATTGAAAAACAAAAGAAAATCATTACACCCCAAAGACAGCAACAACAACTCCACTATTACATTTGAGCGTGTGTACATAAGTAGCTGCTCCAACAAATGCCACAAATTACAACAATAAATACGACAAATGAAAACATGAAATATACAACAAAAAGACAGACGTACACACACACTCCCCTGTGAAAAGTGATAAAATAATTAAAAAAAAAAACAACAAAACATTCAAAGACAAAACACATCAATATTACATCGTTAGCTATTACGTTACACAACGTCGTAATACCGGGACTTATGCTATGACCATCTCACTGGCAGCACTGCCAGCTGCTTTGCCGGTTTGTCAGACGATCTCACTTTACCTCCATCCATTCCGCCATTCATCTACCGCATGCATGCCGAGAAGAGCAGTGTAAATATCTCACATCAATGACCAAAGACCAAACACGGAATTGTAGGAAGGAAAAAGCGAAAATATGAAAAGAAAAGAGCTAAAAAACATGTGGTGAAGTCGCTGAGGAGGAGCCGCAGCAATGACTGACAACTTATTAACTATTTCGTGATAATGACAACAACAAAACAATGGTGCAAAAAACAATCTTACATGTGATCAATCGAACACTTTACCCACCAAAAAAAAAACCAGAAAGAAATGCAAACCAAGAAATTGCGTGGCACAGTATTTCGAGTTGGGATTTTCTCAGCAATTTATGGATTAAATAGCAAAATTCGTACCGCTCACGCTGGAACCCCAAAATTGAATTGTTTTTGTGGAAATTCGAACTTAAGGGTACAAAATGTACTAAAAGGTACCAAAAACATGTAACATGGTCTTTTGAGAATAGATAAAACAACAAATCAGAGATTTCGAATATAGTCCATCTTTGTCCATCGGAGCGAGATTTATATGAGTTTTGGAAATGTAAACTAAACAAGTTTAAAAGTATCAGTCGGTTTAGCTGAAAGAAGTACAGGGTTGCCCATATTCGACGGACCCATCTCGCAACGCCATAACTTTTGACAGAGATGTCACATCGCTTAATGACATACCGCGTTTGAAGCGTCAGTCCAAGCAGATTTTTACCATGAACCAATACACGCCACGCAAGCGCTCTGAAATAGTTGAAATTCATATTCAACAGAAGAAGTCAATTGTGAAAACTCAACGTGCTTTTAAAACATTAAAAAATGTGAGAAGTGCGCCTTCTAAGACCACCATTAATCGTTTATACGAAAAATTTTCGACTGGTAAGCTCTTTCTTTCCAAAGAGGCCATATAAAAGTCGACCAAGGCGATCGGACGAGAATATCGCTGCCGTACGAGCCAGTGTTGAGAGGTGAGTTGATTTAAGTGACATTGTTCACCGGAATTGTAAATTTGTTAAAAAAAATCGTAATGAGTTCTACAGCCTGTGACGGAAAATTGGCTATGCAGGTCGTATAGCCCCAATTTAAAGTACATTCGGTATTTTGATGACATATTTTAAGTTCCTACTTGGTACTACAGCCTGTCACCGAAAATTATGAATGCAGCTCTACGTCTTCGCGTAGGTCCCCTGTAACGGCACCTCCCTACATTGGGTATTTTGATGATTTTAGCAACATTATTCACCGGAAATGTTTCAAATTTGGTATTTGGAGTTCAAAGTGAATATTACAGCCTTTGACAGAAAATTGTGGGTGAAGGTCCACGTTTTGGTATAGCCCCCATATGGTACCTCCTTATTTTTGGTATCTTGGTGATTTTAGCGATATTATTCACCGGAAATGTTTTAAATTTGATATTTGAAGTTCATAACGGATACTACAGCCTATTACGGAAAATTGTCTGTGCAGGACCACATCTTCGCATAGCCCTCATAAACGGTACCTCCCGATATTCGGTGTTTTGATGATTTTAGCTACATTGTTCACCGGAAATGTTTCAAATTTGATATTTGAAGTTCGTAACGGATACTACAGCCTATGACACAAAATTGTCTTTGCAGATCCACGTCTTCGTATAGCCCTCATATAACGTTACCTTCTGATATTCTGTATTATGATGATTTTAGCTACATTATTAAACAATTTTTTTAATCAAGTTTCTCATTTGAATATTTTAATGGGTTATAACGAAAGTGGCCTATGCAGGTCCACGTCGTCGTATAGACCCTAATATAACGGCTACATCCTGTATATTTAAGATTTTAACGGATTTTATTTTATTATTATTATTATTTTTATTTTTTTTTTTGAAAATTGTCAAATACATTCCAAATGGTGGAGGGTATTCAAAGTTCGGCCGGCTGAAATTACAGCTTTTTTACTTGTTGTTTTTTTTTTTTTTTTTGAAAATGATGTGAATTCCCACGATCTACCTCAAACCCTCTTTGCTACTACCACAAACACTCAATTTCACTCTTAGAGTAAATTCTTCCCGCTGGCAATGAAAATTCCATTTAACTCAATTTCACCAGTCCTATACAAGATATAAGCCGGACTAGTACTAAATGTGTCCCCAAGTAATGCAAAGGTAACCAATTGACACCTTTTCGTCCCCAAGTAATGCAAAGAAGCGACAGTTGTGCATAAATAAAAACCACAACGAAAAAACCAGACGAACATTTGAATGAGATCTCTACGAACAAGAACCACTTTGAATAGTTTTTTTTTAGATTACCAATAAAAAAACAATGCACCGTTATTCTTGAGGAATGCAAGTGCGTTTTGTTTGGAAAAAGCATACTTATTATGATCGTTGTGAAGTGAAGTATCATTTTTCTGTGCAAATAAGTTATAAAGTGTTGAAAATAACAAATAAAAAGGTAAGAATGAGTAGTAAAAGGAATAATAGTAATAAAAGTAATTCAAGGTAAAATTATAGCATTCTTCTCTGAATTGTTACAAATTATTAATTTGTTTGCTTTCACTATAGGTCAAATCAAAATTTTAGCTGATGCTTTAGCTGAGTTGAAGGTGATGGTGCTACGATCTCAAAGTGATGAGATACCATTATCGAATAGGTTCCCCATCACTTATGAAAAATATTGAGAATCAATACATATATGTAAGTATTTTTTAAATGTATTGCTGAACAAACATAGATTATATACAATTTTTGTTAATTTTTAGGTAAAGATTATAGCATCAATTATAAAAGGAGAGGAAACATCGAAATGTTTAAAAATGTTATCGGTTCAAATATTACTACGAGTATAATATTGAGGGAAACCATGGAAAAAAGTTTGAAGTCCCTAAGTAATATATACAGCGTTATTTTAGGTAAGGTGTATATAAACATTATTTTTATATTCTACATTTTCATACATTAAACATTATTTTTTGCAGATTCAATACCAGTTACAGAATATTCGGACACCCCTAAAACACAACTGCGAAAAGCAATACAAGTGCTTTTATAAATAATTAATTAAATTTATTTTTGTTCAAGTTCTATAGAGTAAGGTATATTTGTATTCATTTGTTTGTAATAAAAAAATGAACTAAAAATTAGAATTTCACTAACAATAATTGGTACTGAACTAGCGCATGGGAAACCAGTTTAAAATTGGTCTGCTTGTACTAGATAAGGAATAGTCTAATGACACTAGTACATAACTGTATACACAGAACTAGTTAAAAGGCAGTCTGCTGACACTAGTCTGTGGCTGTGTACTTGGAACTTGGTAAGGGTTAGTCTTTTGTCAGTGGTATATGACTGTAAATCTGGAACTAGTAAAGTACCATCTACAGGTAATGCAAAGGGAGCCAATTGGTTACTTCGTATGACATCCCCATGTTAAAGTTTACAGTTGTTTGCACTGTGAGGGGTCTTAAGTGGAACCCAGCTCACAGTTGTCTCATTTCTCTATTAATGTTCTCTATCAGAGGCTCTACCGACTTCTTCCGAGTTTGCTCACATCAGCTCCAATATTAATTTACCAAATCGGCGATCAATTTACCAAATGGAGCTCCAAAAAGTGACTGTTTTTAATAAAATTTTAGAATGGATTTTTACTTTATTTTGAAAGAGAAGCACATCACGCAAAACCAGAACACCCGTCGAAATCAAGACTTTGGAATACTGTGACGATTTATTAACGGTCAAATGGAAAAATATACACATACGTATGGTGTAAATAAGAAAACTCAAAACAAAACTCCTCAATGGAATAAAACAAAGACAGAGTTACCATTGTGGCCTTTTTCGAGTGAGAAATGTCGGAAAAATCACAAAATAAGGGTGTTGATTAATGGATACAAAGGCGTAAATCTACTTTAGTAAAAACTCTCAGATTTCTTTGATTTTTTCCAGAGGTAGGGGCAGTTATTTGTACCCCAATTCCGAGAAAGTATTTTCTACTTGGGGGACGTACCCGAATACCCGGTTCAGGACTCGGGACGATATTAAAACAGCTCACAGTTGTCTCATTTCTCTATTAATGTTCTCTATCAGAGGCTCTACCGACTTCTTCCGAGTTTGCTCACATCAGCTCCAATATTAATTTACCAAATCGGCGATCAATTTACCAAATGGAGCTCCAAAAAGTGACAGTTTTTAAACAATTTTATGGTGGATTTTTACTTTATTTTGAATAAGAAGTACATCACGCTAAGCCAGAACACCCGTCAGAAATCAAGACTTCGGAATACTGTGACGATTTATTAACGGTCAAATGGAAAAATATATACACACGTATGGTATAAAGAAAAAAATCAAAACAAAACTCCTCAATGGAATAAAACAAAGACAGAGTTGCCATTGTGGCCTTTTTCGAGTGAGAAATGTCGGAAAAATCACAAAATAAGGGTGTTGATGAATGGATACAAAGGCGTAAATCTACTTTAGTAAAAACTCTCAGATTTCTTTGATTTTTTCCAGAGGTAGGGGCAGTTATTTGTACCCCAATTCCGAGAAAGTATTTTCTACTTGGGGGACGTACCCGAATACCCGGTTATTTGACCGGAAAGCCCATTTTCAAGACCAGAGTTAGACTCGAATGTACTTACCCGATATGAGCAATATGAAAGCTAATAAAAATAACTATCCAAAAAGTAGTCGCATAACGGGGTTGTTTTAACCGACTTGGAGTGTGTAAAAATTATCAAATTGTGGAATCTTTTTTGGAGTCCACTAAATTATAGTTGACACTAGAACCCTTCCAAAATGCTACAATATCGATCCAGAGGTATATATATCGGACCTTTGAACCCAGTCGACCTAATAGTACCCCAATCGAAAACCGGCTACTTAAAAAAATGTACTAGATTTAGTAAAAATTTGGATCGCGAAGCCGGTATTGGACATATCCAGAGATGAAAATCTTAAGCCACGGCCAAAGATCATGTCAAAATTGGAAAATCTGTAGTTTGCGTAGCCGTTGTTGGACATACCCAGATGAGAAAATAGTTGACACTATAACCCTTCCAAAATTCTTCAATATCGATCCAGAGTTATAGGCCTTTGCACCCAGTCGACCTAATTCGATTTAGTACCCCGGCGAAAAACGGCTACTAAAAATATGTACTAAATTTAGTAAAAATTTGGTTCGCGAAGCCGGTGTTGGAGATACCCAGAAGAGAAGATCTTAAGCCACGGCCGAAGATCGTGTCAAAATTGGAATGTCTCTGTTTTGCGTAGCCGGTTGTGGACATACTCAGAGGAGAAAATTTCAGCATCAATTTTAGAAAACCCTAAAACAGAATTAATTTCAGATTGAAAGACCCATATCTCTGGAGCCACAAAATATAGAAGCACTAATTGCAGCATTTTGGAAAAGCTGTAGCTAAAGTTTTGTCTTGGTCGGATCCAAAAAATCGATAATTGAGTATAACTTCCGAATCGTCTTAAATAATTCAACCTTAAGTATGATATCGATAGTATGTAGGTCCGGGTCTTGGACCTTACATTCGGGTCTTGGACCTTACATTCGGATCAAATATCCGGGTACGTCCCCCAAGAATACCCAACTCTGGAAAAAATTTAAAAAAGTCAAGAGCGTTTACTAAACTTAAGTTGTTTCTTTGTTTTCCAAAAATATTGTGTTTGTCTGAATATCGTCCGAATCAGCAGCAAATATTCCTAAAACAAGTGGTCCTTCAAGTCAGCTCAGTAAATGTTAACATAGCTAGCCAATGAATTAAAAGAATTTTGGGTTATGTAGGATCGGTTGTGTTAGAGTCCGAAGAACTTCCCCTTTTCCTCATGTCCGAGGAAATTTGTCGGTTATTAAAAATTATTTTTAAAAAAATCCTCTACAAAAAGAGGAGTCGAAAAGACCACAACCACAGAATCAATAAATACACAGCAAACCAACAAGTATTGAGTAAATATGTATGTATTCTCTTCGTATCCAGCCTGGAAGAACGATATGTTCCATCCGATTTTGTATTTAAGATCCTAACACCCATACAATGCACAGCAACGATATTTAATGCCAGCTATCAGATATAACATAAAAATCCCTCTGATAAATTTTATTGAGATCGGTTAAGATTTTGATATATCTCCAATACATTTCTTCATCCGGTTTCGTTCAAATAGGATGAATTTTGCCTACAATCGGATCAGATATAGCTAGAGCTCCGAAATATATGTTTATATTCAAACGCTCTCAAAATCGAGAGATACAAATGCCTCCGTTAAATTTAGAGGAAATCGACTTAGAGTAGGATATACTTCTCATATATTACTTCTGTTCGCTATGAATTTATAGATACTCTAAAGCAATAATACGCATTCAAATAAGATCATGGTTGGTATGATCTACTTCACATAAATTCCCAATATAAACGTTTTTTTTAGGCCTTGTTAGGGTAGTTCTACTAAATATGCCTAAATTTTGACCTTTCTTTTCGGGTTCTTTATATATTTTCAGTTTTAGCTTTTATTCCATGAAAACTCTGTCATAGAAAACGGCAACACTTGACACCAATTCCCCAATGTTTGCGGTACGGTACGGTATTAATGCAAAAACAATTCAACCATGGCATCAAACTGGGTAAAACCAAACAAACAAACAAAACCCGGTCTCATCGTCGTCGTCAGCTGAGAGTGCAAACATAAAAATGAAAACAACATCTAAACCTGATTTCACATCACAGTGTGAACGATAAAGCGGGAAACCTCGTGTATGGTGAGAGAAAAGGCCGGGAGGAGACAAGTGACCACCTACCTCATTTCGAGGTATGGGGGGAAGTCAAAGAAGAAAGAGAAAAAGAGGAAAACTCACTTTCAGTGCCACTGTACTCTCTCTCTCTGAGATGGTGAAGATCAAATGCAGTTATTACGCGATCCGTCGTATGGTTATGTGTTATCAACTTCTTTGCTTCTACTTCGAGTGTACCTCCCTCCCAAAGTGTGGATGTTGCTGTTATTATGGATGGTGTACCAGTTTTATGAATGACGGCGGTGTTGTTGTCGCTGTGCGCAAAGAGGATGGCATTGGGGTTTGGGTTGTTGTGTCTGCATTTCAAGACCAAAAGAAAGTGAAATTGTTTTCATGACGCAAAGCCAATCGAACAAGTCACTGCTCAGTGAGCGCAGATGAGGAGAGGGAGAGAAGCCAAGAGACAAAGTGGTATTACCATAAAAATGCAAAGACGGAAATGTTTGCATTTTTTTACAACATGTTTTTGCTCAAAAAAATAAAAATGAAAAAAAGACAAATAAATACAAACTGGACAACTAACTATTCCTCATATGTAGAAAACTGTTGTTTGAATGAAAACGACCGCAACGAAACGAAAATGGACAAAGTATGTTGCTTTGGGGAGCGGGCAATCGCGCTTAAAAATACAGCTGATGTGTTTATTCCCCCGGTGCGGATCTGTTGCCAGTCGATCAACTTTGTGCCTGTAGCAAGTGTTTCGTTTTTTTTTTACTTTATTTGAAATTGTCATAAATGCGGGATTGAGTTTTGCTTTTTTTGTTGCTTCTGTCATGACAGCATTTTAAGATAATCGCCGCTTTTTCACTTTTCGTTTAAGGCTTGTAACCGCCCATAGATGGGTATATTTAGATGTTATGGCAAATATGAGGATATGATGTAATTGTGAGCATTTTTTTTGAAACTGATAATTGCAAATTACAGTTTTATAAATTCGTTTCAAATGATAGATTTAAAAAAGTCGAACATTTAAAACAGTCCCCTGAAAGGGATTTATAAAAATTTAAGTCGATTTAAGGGATAGAAGAAATTTTTAAGTTTTTAGTAAATAAAAAATCCAATATAACATTGATATAAAAAAGTAAGAAGTACAGCTGGGTCGAACTTTTTATACTCCCATCATTTGAAAACTTGAAATTGTCTTTACTTAAAATTCATAAAATTTTGGAATTCCTCAATAACTATACTACAATTTTTTTGAAAGGGTTAATATAATTTTTAAATACCCTCTATCGTACATAGCATGGGGGTATATTA